TTGTGGATAAATGATCATGATGCACATCAAATTCTGCTTAGCTTTGCCATTACTACCTGTAATAGCCCTGCATAATCACGTTTGGTGTATTTTGTGGATAAATGATCATGATGCACATCAAATTCTGCTTAGCTTTGCCATTACTACCTGTAATAGCCCTGCATAATCACGTTTGGTGTATTTTGTGGATAAATGATCATGATGCACATCAAATTCTGCTTAGCTTTGCCATAACATTACCTGTGATAGCCCTGCATAGTCACGTTTGGTGTATTTTGTGGATAAATGATCATGATGCACATCAAATTCTGCCAGCAATTCTGTCGCTATTTTAGGCTTCTGTGACTTCCAGACACTCCTATCTTTTGACTGAGTCCAGAAGTTTGGATTAACTCATGTCAGAAAATGGTAAAATGCTGCCATTTTCATTATTTATCACATTAATGCAGCATCTAGCTGGAGCTGCTATGTTGGAACATTTAGAGCTTGTGATTGGCTGCCACGAGTACTTCTCTAGTAGCATTCTATTTGAACTAAGAATATTTTTGACGATACAAAACCCCTTTTAAAGATTAATGTACACTTTTTGGTCTGAGGACATTCTAAACGTGAATGACCCTTGATAATAAGTGACTAGCACAATAATAAGATTAATGCATCCCAAAGCTAGTTATCTGCACGGTATTCATTAACATGTGCGACAACGCGTGTAGCTGCGAAAAATTTTTTAAATTTTGAAGAACAAAAAATAACATTTTCAAACTAGAAGATAAGGAGCGTCTGGTATATTTTACATACCACACGATTACGGGCAATTTAAAACTTTATTATTTGCAGTAAATATAAATTTCACGGTTCATGCTTAGAGACGTCACTGAGTTGTGAAATTGCATTTTCAACAATTCTCAATATGTATGTTTGTGTGTGTAAGTATATATTCTTGTGATTTTGATCGACCCAAGTGTTGATAAATTAATGAGACTTATTAAATATCAGTCGTGGTTCAAATGACTATTCTATAATAATTAATGTTTAGTACTTCTAAATGGTTTGGTTTGCTTAGCTGTGGGCTATCTTTCCCCTTGTTGGCAATTCTTAAGTTTGTCAGACCCTTTAGGACCCCTTTTGGCTCGCCCCCCCCAAAAAAAAACAATTGCAAACGCTGCGGGGGCATACTTACGCCACTGATTATAGGTGTCATATTTTATAAGTGCTTTTATTACTGGACACTTTATTATCATTATAATTGTTACCGGAAATTGATTTAAAAAAAAAGGTAAAATATGTTTTATGTCTATAGATATAACAAAGAATTACAGGAATAAGAAAACGATTTCTTTTTATTATTTCATGTTGGAAAGTACTGACTCTTCTTTAACTTGTAAGCATTTTTTTTTGTATTCTGTGATATCATATTATGTTGCTTAGTTCTTAATACTTAAAGTTTACAACTTCATTTTCTGCAAACCTTAACAGGTAAAGCATTTGTTTCTTCTGATCGTCCGATACTTTCCGGAGAACTCAACTCTAAGGTAAGACTTTTCTGACGCTTTATTGTGAAAGATAAAGATGAAAACGATTTAGTATAGTTACATAACTAAGCAAAAAATAATAATTCTATCTTATTTTCATAATTTGAAGTTTAAGTGACTTTTTCCATTCTTATGCAAATATTATATAAAATATTATCCTTAATAATATAAAATAAATATTAAATGTAAGTTAAATATATGACTGCGCATTGATACTACTCGTTTTTGCCTCATTACTGCAGTATAAATAATGTTTTTAAGAAATTTGTTTATTCAGTATATGTTTTAATATTCTGGCAATTTTAGATCAATTATATTATTTAAACTGTTCCATATATGTCTTTGTAAAACAGAATTGTACAATTTACATCAGAGCCTAAACAAATCATGATTATAAAATTACTACCATGTTTATTTGCCACATCTGTTGGCAGTAGCTGACAGGTGTGTTTTTATTCTTTTACAGAGTGTTCTTTAAAAAAAAGTGGGCTGTTTTGAATATATAAATAACACATTTCAAATCTATAATAAGTTTTGTGTAACGATATTAGTAAATAGTGTACTGTGATCGTGTTTGTTTTAGAACTCACTGATAACTCTTAATGGTTTACCGACGATATGAAATAAAAAGCACTTTAAATACTTTAGATTCATTTACGCAGTCATATTCTAAAATCTGAAAATTTGAATTTCTTTCGGGAATTAATAAAACGTTATATATTTTATAACACACACTCATATCTCTAAATGAGACCTACTCGGGTTACGGAAAGTAAATTTCGGAAAAATGCTATCACATTTACAAAAATATGAAACACTGAACAGTAATTATAGTATTTTGGCACTTGTGTATAAAGTTAAAATCATAAATAATATTCAACGTTAAACTGGTACACA